GCCTCTGCCTCTGCCTCCCGAGTGCTGGGATTAAAGATGTGCACCACCACTACCTGGCCAAAGTTGATATCTTTTATTTCCCACAATTAAACGTGGGGACATGGGGTCCTCAGAGCAAGCTGGCTAGGCCAACTTAGCAAGCTCTGAGTTTAAGTGGGAGACCCTGCTCTCTCTCCTTGGGCATCAGACTCAGGTCATCACCATGTTTTTTTCCTGCCAAACCATCTCATAGGTCCACAAGCATTTTTTATAAAAGATTTTTAAGAGCTGGGGAGATATCTCAGAGAGTAAAGCACGTGCCTTGCATTCACCATCCATCCATGGCTGAGTGTGGCAGCCTGCTTGTAATTCTAGTATGTTTGGGATGAGCATGCTGGCTGGCCAGACTCAGGGAGCTCTGGGTTTGAGCGAGAGAACCTGCTTCAGTATACAAGATGGAAAATAATGGAGGAAGATACCAGACAGCAAGCCTCCACGCTAGCATGCACAATGTGTGCATGAGAACTCCCACACATATATCCACACACATCCAAACAAGCACGCACCGCCCCCCCCCCCACACACAAAGACTTTTAAACTCAACATCTGAACTATTTACAAGAGTTACCCCAGAAGTGGAATGTGGAAAGAATTAAAATGAAAAGCCTGTCATCCATAAGTGAGATCAAATTTTGCAATATCCTGTCAAATACTTATTATTATATATACTACTTTAGCAACTAATAATAAAAGCTACCGGGGCTGGAGAGATGGCTCAAAGATTAAGAGCACTGGCTGCTCTTCCAGAGGTCCTGAGTTCAATTCCCAGCAACCACATGGTGGCTCACACCATCTGTAATGAAATCTGGTGCCCTCTTCTGGTGCAGATATCTGGTGTGCAGATATACATGGAAGCAGAATGTTGTATACATAATAAATAAAATCTTTTTAAAAATTAAAATTAAAATAAAAAATAAAAGCTACCACTATGGAGTAACTACTTAAGCTAGGTACTGGTCTGGGCACCTTATATATTATATACCTATTTAAACTTTTTAAACATGTATGGTTTACTGAGTATGTGCATGTGTGTGTGTGTGTGTGTGTGTGTGTGTGTGGTCAGTTCTCTTCCTTCTACCATGTTGAGTCCCCAATATTGAACTCAGGTTGTGAAGTTGATGGCAAGTGACCTTATATAGTGCTAGTCATCAAATCCAGGTGCTCATAATTGGAGTTAAGAACTAGACTGAGCTACATTCCCAGACCTAAAATTCAACCTTTATGTCACTGTTTTAGTCAGTATAAGTAGGATATGCTGCGTTAGCATGTTAATCTTGGAATCTCCAACAATAAAGGCTTTGTTGTTATTCTAGGAAATCCCAGTATGTTCTGGGTAACTTATTAGTGCAACAGTACTTCATGGGTTAACTCTGGGATCTAGGCTGCTTCCACACTGGGGGCTATGATGCTTTGAATGAGAATGGCCCCCATAGGCCCATATGTTTGAATGCTTGGTAACCTACTTAGTGGGACAGTTTGAGAAGGACTAGGAGATGTGGCCTTGTTGGATGAGGTGTGTCAATGGGGATGGGGCTTTGAGGTTCCGAAAGCCCATCCAGGCCCAGTGTCTCATTCTCTCTCTCTGCCTGATGTCTATGGATCAGAATGCAAAGCTCTCAGATACAGCTCCAGCACCACGTCTGTCTGTTTCCCACCATGATGAAACATGGACTGACCCTCTAAAACTGTAAGCAAGCCTCCAATTAAGTGCTTCTTTTTTTTATAAGAGTTGTCTTGGCGGCTGGAGAGATGGCTCAGTGGTTAAGAGCACAGGTTGATCTTCTAAAGGTCCTGAGTTCAATTCCCAGCAACCACATGGTGGCTCACAACCATCTGTAATGAGATCTGGTGCCCTCTTCTGGCATGCAAACATACATGCAGGCAGAACACTGTATACATAAAAAGAGTTGCCTTGGTCATGGTGTCTCTTCCTAACACTAGAACAGTAACTAAGACAGAGATGTACCTTCTCACTGATAGGAGCAAATTAAATGTATTTGTTTAGTGAGATGGGGTCTTGATATAGCCCAGATTGGCCTAAAACTCTTTATGTAGCTCAGGCTGGCCTTGAGCCTGTGGTCCTACTGCCTCACCTCCCTGAACATTGGGATTACAGGTATGTAACACCAAGCCAAAGGTTTTTTGGGTTTTTTTTGGTTTTTTTTTTTTTTTTTGGTTTTTGGTTTTTTGAGACAGGGTTTCTCTGTGTAGCTTTTGGAGCCTATCCTGGCACTCGCTCTGGAGACCAGGCTGGCCTCAAACTCACAGACATCTGCCTGCCTCTGCCTCCCAAGTGCTGGGATTAAAGACGTGCGCCACCAATGCCTGACGCTAGTAGTTTTTGTATTAACTTTTTACTTTATTATTTATTTCTTTATTCTGGGTTTTTGAGACAGGGTTTCTCTGTTCTGATTTCCTGGAACTCACACTGTAGACAAGGCCAGTCTGGAACTCACAGAGATGGACCTGCCTTTGCCTCCTGAGTACAAGGATTAAAAGTGTGCCTCTCCACTGCCTGGCTTGGATTAACTTTTAAATGCTCTAAGTCAAATCATCCTTGAAGTCTTATTTCAGTTGCAAGAGAGGTGTTCAAATTTGCTTTCCGTTGCTGTGATAAATATTGTCACGAAAAGCAACTTGGGAGACAAAGGTTTATTCTAGATTACACTTCCAAATAACAGTCACTGAGGGAAGTCAGGGCAGGCACTCAAGGCAGCAACCTGGAGGCAGGACTCACAGAGGAACATAGCTTACTGGCTTGCCCCCTTGTTCCTCCGTGATTAGCTTTTTTTTTTTTTTTTTTTGTGTTAAATATGACCACATTTATAATTTAAGAGAAATTCTTTCTTTTATTTTAATTAGAAAGAAGATTATTTTACATGTTAATTCCAGGTCCCGCCGGGCGTTGGTGATGCACGCCTCTAATCCCAGCACTGGGAAGGTAGAGGCAGGCAGATCTCTGTGAGTTCAAGACCAGCCTGGTCTACAGAGTGAGTACCAGGACAGCCTCCAAAGCCACAGGGAAACACTGTCTCAAAACAAACAAACAAACAAACAAAAAAACAAAAAAAAACCCAGGTCCCTCTCCCTCCCCTCCTCCCCAGACCCCCCAACTAATACTCTACCTAACCCATACCCTTTCTGCTCCCCAGGGAAGGTGAGTCCTTCTGTAGGAGGTCTTCAAAGTCTGTCATATCCTTTGGGATAGGGCCTAGGCCAACCCCCTTGTGTCTAGGCTCAGGGAGTATACTTCCATATGGGATGGGCTCCCAGAGTCCATTCCTATACTAGGGATAAGTATTGATCCACTACAAAGGGCCCCATAGTCTTTTTTTTTTTTTTTTTTTTTTGAGACAGATTTCTCTGTGTAGTTTTGGAAGCTGTCCTGGAACTCACTCTGTAGACCAGTGGCCTCAAACTCACAAAGATCTGTCTGCCTCTGCCTGACTCTTGATAAACTTTCTTATACACCCTAGGACTATCTGCCCATTGGTGGCATTTCTAACAGTAGGCTAAGCCTTTCCATATCAGTCAACATTCATGACAATTTCCCACAGACATAGCCATAGGCCAGTCTGATCTGGGCACTGCCTAGGTTGAGACTCCCTCTTCTCAGGTGACTCTTGGTTGCATTAGGTTGACCATAGAGACTAGTCAGAACAGGTTCTTGAAAATATGCAGACTGGTCTGCATATTTCTTGACTCAGAGTCAAGGCATTAGTCATTGGTGTAGGGCCAGGCTTTCCAAAAGAACCACCATATTTGCAGGGGTGTAGAAATCTTCCTCAGTGCCAAAGACAATCAGTTCCACTCACTGAAGCAGCTGGGATACCTGGTCATCCTTGGGGTCCTATAGGCTTCTCGACATTCCAGATATTAAATAACATCCTATGTGACAACAAGTAAAAATAGTGAGAAACCAACCACCTGTTAGCAGAACCATCTTCAGTTCTTTGGCTACGTGTGCCATATGATTATCAAGAAAAATATTGTTTCTCTGGGAGGTCAAGAATGAACTGTCTTATCCAAAGAACTTAGTGGGGATCTTCCCTCAGGGTCAGCAGACCCACAAATGGGCCTTGAGTCTGAAAGTTCTGTAAATGTCTGTTCAAGTGTGCATTTTCCTGGTAAATAGTCTATCCCCTTCATCAAGATATTTGAGGGGTTCACAATGCAGAAAAGATTTGAAAAAATCACTTTTCCTGGCTAGAAATAGGGTCTCAGCATACTAGAAGAGATCAAAGTCTGCCAGGTGATCGGGTAGGAAACAAGTTTGTATTTATGTCACAGTACAACTGCATTTACATAAACTCAGCAACAAGAATTACTTCCTCGACAGAAGAAAGTGAAATCATTTTCCTCCTATAAAATTATTACAAGTCATATGTGCTGGTACCCTCCAAGCACTCACGATACTGAGGCAGGAGGATGACTATGAGTATTGAGTTACTGTTTTCTTTCTTTTTTAATATTTAAAAACCTTAAGCCGGACAGTGGTGGCACACACCTTTAGTCCCAGCACTTGGGAGGCAGAGGCAGGAGGATCTCTGTGAGTTCGAGGCCAGACTGGTCTACAGAGTGAGTTCCAGGACAGCCAGGGCTACACATAGAACTCTGTCTTGAAAAGAAAAAAAAATTAAATCTTGGCTGGCAGATGTTTTCAGATTTTATTACCTTTCATTTCAGGGAACAAAAAGGAATTGAAAATGGATTCTTTCACTGCCATAGGCAATGGCTTCCTTTCCTTTTCTACTTTTGCTGTACATCCACAATAATGGCACCAGTGGAGCATTATATCCCAGAACTCCCAAGGCTGAGGCAGAAGGACCATTCCAAATTCAAGACCAGATTTGTCTGCATAGAAGACAGCCAGGACTACATAGTGTGACCTTAACTCAAAGGGAGATACAGAGAGACAGACAGAAATACACACAGACACAGGCACATACACAGACAGATAGACAGAGACAGGGACATATCCAAAAGAAGATTGACCTCTATGTACACTACAAACCTCTGAACCTTGATTCTGAAGGGTTTCATCTCATCTATAATGATTAATCTCCAAATCCTTCAAAAGAATGAGTTGGTAAATTATTTACTTTTCTTGGTTGCTTTCTGGAAATTATTCATGACTATAATTAAATGCAAATATTGCTAAATTGTAAAAAGAATGTAATTTGGAAAAAGATTATTAAATTTTTCTCAGAAGTCCATTATAAATATGAGCCAGTCAGACATCAAATATCTATAAAATAATCCAATTTATATTTCCATGAAGCTTTGTAACATTAATTGAATCACTGAATAATCACACCTGGCCAACTCCATAGCAACAGCATGGTTTTGCTTGTGGGTGTCTCTTAAATAATATTAAGATGAAGCTACACTAAGTCATTATCACCTGTGAAATCAAGCAGTAATTCACAGTGAAATCTTGATAGCTGAGAAGTTGCTCTTGTGAATTTTTTGCAAAATACATTTTGAAGCTAGAGACCTTTAATTGTGTCTTGCTAAAATCTAATGAGGAATTTCCCTTCCTTTCAAAACCCAATCTTTAAGGGCTTTTCCTGTGCTCCTGAGCCCCTTGCATGTAAGGTGGTATCAAATAGCATCTGCAAATGAAAGCCAGCCCAGCTTCTAAGCTCCTTCTTCTGTGACTGCTCAAATAATCTCCAGTTGCTGTGTACTTCCTGGTGATTTCCCTGTGGAGGCCAGCATTCCCCACCCTCCTTTCTGCTCGTATGTGCTGACTTCCCTCCCAGACTCCGTGCGGTAAGCTGTCAACCTTTTCCATTTGGGACCTGCTCAGATGGCGAAAATTTTTGTTGTTTTTGTTTTTCCTGCTACATTTCCCAAAATGAAGTCTCTTTACTTTTCACCTTTTACACCCTGAAGGTATTAGGGGGGTAGGGGTCCTCTCTACTCCCAACCATATTGTCCACCTCACACTGAACCTCAGATACTAGGGTCTGTGTATTAGCAGAAGGACATCACAAAGGCCACCTCTGCCTTTGTGTCTTTGAAGACTTGTTGGGAGCATTTGATATTTTCCAAGTGACAGGTTGCCTTAATTTTCAACCTGTGGCAGAAACCATAAGGCAAGGAAGCAAACAAGTGTGTCCATTTATGTTCTAGGAACTCCTGTTTGCTATCTAATTGTGAAAAGCTCCAGTGGGGACTGCCATTAAACTTCAACTTCCTTTCCTAGAAACCCAGATTGAAAGGTTCAATGTCTCTAAGTTGGCTACTGAAGACGGGGGTAGATGTTTTTAGGGGTGTTACTACTAGGGTCTGATTTTTTCAATAAATCAAACTGCACTGTTGCCCAGACCCCTTTCCAGTATGTTTCAGAGGCACACGTGACTGATTTCTAAGGATTTGCTCGAAGTTGCTTGTTCTCTTGCTTTCATTTCTCATCATTATCAAGATGGCTCAAAAGAGAGACAGACCACAGCTACCAAGCAAACCATGTGTTAAGTGATGACACCCAAATGTCCCAGCATTGTCCAAATAAATACAGACATTCCCTCTACCACAGGGACTACTCAGACCGCAGAGCTTTGTTTTCTTTTTTCTTTTACCCAGGCTCAAACTCACTATATGTTGAGGATAATCTTGAACTCTTGATCCCCCTGCCTTTACCTCCCACGTACTGGGATTGCAAGTCCATGCCACCATGCCCTGCTTGTACAGTCCCTTTTGAAATTCTACTCTCGTGCCCTAAAGTGATATTTTGCAGCTTCCTCTGGCTACAAAATACCTTTGCCTGTCAGCTCTCCATCACCGAACTGCTCATTAATTCTGAGCACTGTGGCATCCTACTCCATTCCACAATTGCTTGCTGGTCTTTACCTACTGTTTGTTCATCCATTCCTCCAAAGATGCCTCCATTTTTACATTCAGCATCTTCTTCCATATTTTTTTCTTCATGGAAGTCACAGCACCATCATTCATACAGTTTTGTTAGCTATCATGGGTCAAAAGTGTCTCCCAGGGCACAGACTAAATGACAGAAAAATAGGTTATGGAAAAGTAAACAAAACTACAGAACTCTCTCTGATAAAAAGTTGGTTTCACCACTGCCACCCTGGTCCAAACTACAATCATCTCTCACCAAGATGAATATAGTAACATCCTAATTGGTCTCCCTGTGGCTGCCTTTGCTCCTACCAGTTACCCGAGCCCCTCCCACAAACAGAGTGATCTTTAAAAGCAACAAATCACTTCACTTTTGGGGTTGACATCCTCCAGTGGTTTGGCTTTCATCAGGACTAAATACTGAACTTTTTTTTTCTTTTCAGACTTTTGCCCACATTACTTTAACAAGGCTTTGTCCCCCAGCTCCACATAGTCACTTTTCAGAGCCAGTGGAAGAGGAGCGGATGGCATGAGGGAGGGCAGTGAGGGGGAGAGAGGAGGGGGCAAGGAAGAAATGGGGAAGAGGGGAGGGGGGACTCTGATTGGGATATAAAAACAATAAAAATCAATTAATTAAAAAACCAAAACAAATCAATCAACAAAACAAACAAACAAAAAACAGTCACTTCTTTACCATTCCCTGCACCAGACTTCCAGCCTGGACTCCCACCCATTGCCATAGCACTTACCAAATCACATTTCTAGGAAGCAGATAAATGTCCTGGTCACAAAAGCCATCAATTTCTGCCTGGTCACCTGGAGGCACCCAGTTTCAGATTTTAGTCATTTTGATATGAGGAAGCAAAGGTCCCATGGAGAGGCTACTTGTAAATATTCTGACCAACAGCCCCAGCTGTGGTCCAGTGCAATCAGCTTCCAGACATGTAAGGGAACTTTTGAGATGACCGAAGCACCAACCACCAGATAAGACACAAATGAGAACCATTAGCTTAGCCAATCACCTTCCTGAATCATGAGTGATAAAAGAATCATAATTTTATACCAGTAAATTTTAGGACTATTTGATATTTAATAATAACTGGTGGAAGAGTTTATTATGTCTATGTTTCCACTCTTCCCTAGTAGAGTGTAAGTTTCACATATATACAGGGATTTTGTGGATCTGTCTCTCTCAGTCTCTATATATTTTTTCCCAAGACAGGGTCTCCCTATGCAGCTCTGTGGACCAGGCTAGCCTTTAACTCACAGACATCCTCCTGCCTCTGCCTCCAGAGTGTTGAGATTAAAGGGATATGCCACCACTGCCTGGTGTTTTCTGTATTTTTATGTTTTAATTAAAAAATAATTTATAATTATTTTTATGGTTTTATTTTTAACTATACATATGTCAGGGGTGGGAGGTATGCACGTGAGTGTAGATGCCAATCAGGCCAGAAGAGGGCACTGGATCCCTTGGAGCTGGAAGAATAGGCAGTTGTGAGCGCATGGTGTGCTGGGAGCCGAACTCTGATCCTCTTGAAGGGCAGCAACAGCTCCTATCCACTGAGGCATCTCTCCAGTCCCAGGAACTTTGTTTTATTACTGTATACCTAGCACCAAGAGCAGTGCCTGGAACATGAAAAACAGGCAATGAATACTGAGTGAATTAATGGTACATACATGACACACATTCAGAATGGTGTGATAATGGCTTTTGTGGTCAACAAAACATGGCACAATTTGCTGAGCTATCTTTCATTGGCTGCAAGTGATTGGCAGGTAGTTTCAAGAATATATACAAAGGAGGAAATATGTCTCTGGATCTACCCTTTCCAGGATCTACCCTTTCTTTGTTTAGAATTTGATTTGGAGCAAGTGTCAATGTATAGCTTAAAGACCCTTCTCAAATATCCAAGGAAAATACTAAAATTTTATCATCTCAGGACACAGTAAAAGACAAATTTTCTTAGCTACCACAAGTTAGGTTTTTTTGTGTGAATAAGTGATAATCTTAAATGGACTAATCAATTTGTTTGAAGTAATCCAACAGAGTCATGGAATCTATGGTTCCTTGACAATCAATCACATGGGTTTTCTCTCCAAAATTCAGAATAGCTTGATGGGTAAATTGGTTTTAACAGTATTTCATTTAGCTGGGTGTGATGGTGCACACCTTTAGTCCTAGTACTAGGGAAGCAGAGGCAGGCGGATCTCTGTTTGAGGCCAGTTTGGTCTACATAGACTGTTTCAGGACAGCCAGGGCTCTGTTGAGGGACCCTGTCTCAAAAAACCCCAAAATAACAAAAACCAAAACCAAGAGTATTTCATTTAGACAAGGCCACTGTCCCAGAAGGCTACTGAGACAAGTGTGTCTTAAAGAAGAGTGTTATCTTGCTCTTTGTTTTATCCATAGCTGTTGGTGCCATTAGGACTCACCATCTTGCTTGTGGCATGAAGTTCTCTTGGGGTGGGAATAAAGTAGGGAAGAGCCCAAATTCCTCTGGGAAGTCTAAAAAAGTAAACTGGAAAATATTTTCTTTGGGAGCCCCATTTTTCTCAGCAAAATCTGGATACAGCTTGTGAAGCTAATTATTCTTTTCTCCATGAAATCTTTTTCTTTATTTATTTATTTGCAGGACCACACAAACTTGATTAGAAAAAGAGGCCA